CGTCGTTTTCCCCCCCCCTTGTGTGCCGGCGGCTCAGCCCCCCTGCTCCCGAGGCAGGAGGGTGGCGAGCACCAACCAACCACCACCAGCATCACGTTAGCCATCACACTGGGGCCATCCAAAATTTGTTTCACCCTGCTAACAGGTATGTACCCTTACCTAGGAAAAATACCCAGGAATTAAACTATTTTAATCTTATGCATTAAATGCTTTGCCTGCACCGCTCGCTCTTTACGACCGGGCTGATTAGGTCTGGCTGTGCCCACGCTCAGTGCCCTGTGGGTGGCTGAACCAAGGGGAGCAGGACACAGGGAACAGCAGTTGGACTTTGGGGCTGCTCAGTAAAACAGCAAGGTGGAAACGGGGATGTTTCCAGCGAAGGCAGCACAGAAAGAAGATCCTATGGCTGAGCCTCCACCGGGATACCCTGGGCAGCACGTTGAATATATGGGACCGCAGAAGCCTGTGTGTGATGGCGCGCAAAGGAAAAGACCCCTGGAAAGTACTTGGACACACACCAAAGCTCTCAACGCATTAACTGTGGTCAGTGAAAGCTCGCACTGCAGGGAAGCACCATTATCCTTATTTTATAGTGGAGGGAAAACTAAATACACCAGTGGTTAAACACAGCTGAGAATAAACCCGTTTGCTGCCAGGTGGCTGCTGCAGTTTGGATCTCTGCATCCTCGCGGGCAACCAGAGCACCAGCACCTCCGCCCGCAGACCCTCTGTGCTCAAGCACCAAGTGCTCAGCCACGACCCGACTTCGGCAGTCCCTGCTCTACCAGGCGCACGGGCTAATTATATTACTTAGAAAGTGGCCCAATCTGCCACTTAGAGGGCTACCAAAAAAAAAAAAAAAATTAAAAAAAAAAGCAATCGACACAGGTCTAAACACCAAGCTGTTGCAAAAACTCTGCCTCCCAGTGAGCGTTGGGGGCAAAAGGCCTTTTCTCCTGATGGATTTGCCGATTTGATTGCGTGCTTGGAAGCGCCAGGATTTAAGAGGCTTCACTTCAGCTGGCACAGGGCAGGCACGGGGAGGAAAGGGCAGCAGCGCTCCTGTTCTCCGCTCAGCAGCTCTTGACTGGTCATTAAGTTCAGCATCAGCGCAGTGACATTTGTCAAACAGACAGTGACCATTAGTGAATGAGCAGAGAGACCAAAAAAATTGCATTTAATTTAAAATTGCCCAATTGGGCTTGAATGGGAGGCCTGGAGGTGAAAGGCCAGCTTATTAGGAGGAAAAAAAAAAAAGCATGACAGGGCTTCAGCCCATTAGCAAGTGAGATGGTATTTTAACTAACTGTAATCCTGTTTGATTCACTTAAGTGCTGCGGGGGGACCTGCTCTCCTCACCACCGTTGACCAAGCGAAGGAGCCAGGCGCAATGCGACCACAGCCACGATGACAGTTTTATGGCTGGTACTGCTTAGGCAGCACCGAAGAGCAAACGGTATTTATGGAAAACAGACGCTGCCTGCAAGGATCTGGACTTTGCCTGGTTTTGCTGGGGTTTACCAGGTGTGACCCAGCATGGGATGAGACAACAGCCCAGTCCTGGACTGCAGAAGATGCTTGACGAACCTAAGCCATATTCACGGCTGAAGGCGAGCCCCAGCGAGCCACCGCCTCGCTGCCCCGGAGCAACTGCATCCCCCGAGGGGTGAGCCACGGTCAAAGCAGCCGTGAAGGTTCCCGCAGCAGGATGAAGCGTGTGGTCACCAGCCGCCAGTGGACCTGCTCTGGAGAGGCAGCAGAAGCTATGTGCAACATCAGGTGTGGACTGGGGCAATTCACAGGTGACAGCTACGATCCCATAAGCAGGTGGCTTGGTGCCTTCTTAGATGTTGAACCCATGAAGAGCAGGAACCTCACGGACACCATGATTTTAATAACTATGGAGAGAGACTGCTAACCCAACCGGAATCTGGGCTATAACTACCTCGCCCTCCCACGCACGTGTACACCCCCCTGAAGCAATGAAGCACGTAAATGCATCAGTGAGGCTGGGAGAGCTCTGAAAATCATGAGCTCCCTGGCTCTGAGGACCTACTGGACCTAAACCACCCGCTAGCATCAGACCCATTTCCTTAACGTGTGACCTTCTCAGTTACAAGATTAATTTCAGCTTGTTAGACATTGCTTTGATGACTTGTTGCAGAAAGGCCCTTAATGGCCATACAAAAAACGACTGGTGGGTGAGTTCAACAGCTGTGTAGATAGAGAAAGCAAACAGAAACCTGCAGGCCACAGAGCAGTTCTGCTGCTTTCTTTGCACTTGCAGTCTCCTTCCTCCATCAAATACATCACTCTTGTTCCACCTGTCCTGCTGGGTAGTTCACAGGGCAGAAAAATGAGGGGTCATGCCTTTAGGATTAGGAAAAATTTAAATCTCTGCAAGCTGTCACAATTTGGACATCTCCAAATTCTTCCTACCCCCACAGGCATCACTGGCTCAAGGAGAACAGAAGATCCAACCCCAAAGCCGTGTCCTTCCCAGTGACTCCTGCGGCCCCGGATGGTGGGAAGTAAAGCTGGGTGATGCTGAAAGAGGCTGAGAGGGAAAACCTGGTGTATAACTAAGCTGAAACTCATTTTCTGCTGACATGAAAGATTTCAGCATGCAGGTAATTGCCTGAAGCTGTGTGACATGGGATCTCGGAGATGGCAGACCGTGGGGTCCAGCGGCACAACCCATCCCACAGTGTCCCTCAAAGGTGGAACTGCAGAGTTTGGGAAACTCCATCTATTTTCAATTACGTGTATCCCTTCTTTTTACAGTTTTATTTCACTGAAGCTCAGTTTTTGCATCCATGTGTGCACTCTGCTTTGAAATGTCCCGATCTGAAGTGAAAGCTGCCAATGGATCAAAACAGGATTGATGGGAATACATTTGCCTGGATTTCATAGAATTATAGAATCATTTAGGTTGGAAAAGACCTTTAAGATTTCCATGGAAAGAGAAAGGTTTTTGTTCAGTCATAGCGTTTTCCTAGTGTTCTGGTCTCTGCACTGGTTATACAGTCAAATCCTGTCACAACTGCCTATTTTTAGGGGACAAGCCAGTGCTCCTGGTGCATCCTTGGATCAGCACCTTCCAGGAGAGGGTTTTCCATGAAAGGCTTTAATCAAAGTCCCCCAGGGAGCTCAGTGTTTGACCTGCAGGCATGGAGACCCATCAGGTGTTGGGGCAGCAGCCCTGCGATTGCTGCAATTTGTCCTCAGTAAATAACAGCTGGAAGACTCACAGAACACAGCACGTGGAGTCTGCTCTGCTGGTGCAGTTTGAGAAAGATGGGCAACAACCAAGATGTCCCCAAAACCCTAGGAAATCCTTGGGTTTCTGGATGCCATGCTCACCAGGAGCTGTGCTGGCTGTAGAGGCAGATTCTGTGCCGCTAAGACATTGCTGACCACCTAAAACTCTGCCCTGATGAACTAAAAGGCAGTGAACTTAAATCCCACCCTGCATTATTTTCCTTCCCTGTTTTAGTCTCCTCTACCTGCCACCTGAAATCTAATTTTGCACCCAAGCATTTGCAGAACCTTAGCCATGAACCTGCTTTGCTCATCAAAACCCTCAGCGGAGGGAACTCCACAGCTTGATGGACCGGGTAAACTGTGCAGAGAAAAGCCCAACTCTCATTGCCAAACTTGCTGCGTGCACAACCCAAGCATGTGTGCTAACCTGCACCTCCCTCTAGGTTGGAAACAATCCCCCCATCCCTGGGAAAGTCTCCCACTATATGTATATTAAAAAAAAAAAAAAAAAAAGACCAAAAATCTGTGCTCTTATTTAGCGCAATTTATCCCTCACTGAAAAACATCATCTGCCGTTCTCTCGCTGTCTGTTAAAACAGGCATGACTGCACGTACCTTATAATGTGACTCTGTCTCCTCTTCCTGAGTAGAACTGGAGGGAGATGGTGTAGCAGACTTACTTCCCGGGGGCGATGGGGAACCGTGGGTAACACCGCTCCGCATCCCCATCTGAGAAATCAGCTGTGACTGGCTGAGAGCGCTCATGGGGCCGGCTAACATCCCGGGGCGATTGATCAGGGGCACTTGACGGTTGGACTCATAGGACGTGGCGTCCGAGTGGACCATCTCCTGGATCTGAGTTAGGAGAACATCACTTTGTAATTAAAAAAGGTTTTCATTCATTTATCATACTGTCAAATCACTTTATGTTGAACTCTTATCAACTGATTTAAAATCATTATACACAGCTAGTAAAGTCTTCTTCGTGCCCTCTTCCAAACAAGCCAAGAGCAAGAAATGAGTACCGTGCACCCGGGGCTCTGCTCCTGCCATCGCCTGCCGATGGGAACTAGAGGTGCTAAACTGTGTTTGCACCTACGTCCGTGTGTCCAGGAGGTGCCCCTGCCTGCCCCAGGGACCAGTGGTGTCGGGTACCTGTCAGGGGTCTGAAAGAAAAGTTCAGAAATGAGCAACTTTTGGCCAAACGACTGGGAGAAGCGAGGGTGTTGCAACGTCCCAGGCATTTCTGGGGCCAAGCCTTGCTGCTGCACACGTGGGGCCATCGCTGACACCGGCACGTGTTGTGCCAGGGTATGTGGGGCCATGGCTGAGGGTCCAGCCCTGGTACGTCAGCGATGCAGTGTTAATGGCTGTAGAACCTAAACATGCTCTTTCTGAGCAATACCAGGTGTTGACATACAGTAAACTGCACAGATGAAAAACTATCTGCTTGTCTAAGTTTATGAAGGTACCAGAACCAACCCTCCTGCGTCATCTGCACCGATGTTGGGTTGCTAGTGCTACTGGGGTTAAACCTAGAAGCTGTAAGCACAAAAGCAGTCAGTGGAAGCCCCAGGTCCCCGCTCCCACCACGTCGGTCTGCCCAAAGCTGTGACACTACCATCAAGCCAGGGGTTTGTACGTCCCCGACCCCAGAGGCAGCGAGGACCACGGCACACCCCCAGACGGACCCCAACGTGCGGGGGCAAGCTCTGCTGGTGGCCATCACCTCATTACAACTCCTCCAGGAGACGACTCTTCTGATGTTAAATATTGCAATCAGTTCTGATCCCACTCGAAATGAATGTAGCAGAAAGGAAAAAAAAAAGTCCAGACAAGGACACAGAAAATTATTGGCTGCCTGTTAAGCTTTCCCAGCGAGGGAAGGGACCAGAAGCGATGCATGTATACGCACACATGGGGCATGAGAGATGTACCTATGTGATAGAGTTATCCCCAAAAATGAAGTTTCCTAACACCTATTTATCTGTTGTCATAAAACAAGAGCGAGGGGACATCTGATGGGACTGAAAGGCGACTAATCGCACACGGCCGCAGGGACGCACGGACACGGCACAGGCCAGCAGCACAAGCGCTGCCTCCCGAGGGTGCTGAGCCCAACAGCCTTGAAAGATTCAGAAGAAAAATGAAACATATATATATGGCTAATAAGACATGTCGAATGCTACATTAGACAAATAAAAATATCTTGTGGAGCGTATATTCCCCCTTGTCGTGGCATAAACCAAAGTTCAAGTGGTTGGGCCAGGTGGGAGCAGGAACAACCCCCTGTCCTGGCCAAGGAGGGACGATGAGATGAGATGGGGACAAACTTGGCCACCTTGTCGGTGCATGGAAGGTTTTGCGGCTGCCCTGCTGTCTGCTGAGCCAAGACCCCATTTCCATTTGTACTGTTTTCCCTGAAAATGCCATTTTCACCCCAGGATCCATCCCTGCCCGGCCGCCCCCCGGCAGCAGGGCTCAGCCCCCCGCAGCCCCCCCGGGCGGATCCAAGCTGCCTCCTGCCGCCCAGCCTCATCCAGCCGGTGGGAGGGAGAGCAAACCCTGCCTGAAACGTTTTCCAGACTTTTTCCCTTTTATATTAATCTGATTAATGTTAACATGAGTTTAAAGACCCAGGCTTTATTTATTAACAATCTTCATTTCCGATAAGCCTGCTGAGGTGCAATCTCTCGTTACCAGGGGAGGCTTGCCAACTCCATTAGCAGCACACACAGAAAGAAACCCAGGGAAGACCTGCGAGGGCTCGGTAGGCTTCAGAGGAAATAAATCCAAACTCAAGACCAGATTTACTCCTGCAGGTCAGGAATCAAGAGCTTTACACAATACCCGACAGCACGTTCTGCTCTCTTTCAGATTCTCCATCAGTAGAAGAGCGTGCGTCTGGGGAACAGATTTTCCTAGATCTGCCCTTTTTCTGTATTAATTACGAAGTGCAGGGCTTTAACTCGCAGGAAGAAAATAACGTCTTGCATTTCAACAGCACGAGGAGCCTGACTGAGGCTGACTTAGGGGCTGCGCTGAATTGCTGGCCTCGGCTTTGGTGGTTGCAAAGGAACACCAGCAGCTGGGTTGGCTTTGCTCCGTCACGGAGCTGAGAAAACTCGCTGCCGCTCAAACTATGGCAAGTTTTACGCGCCTTAAAACCTGCCTTGTTGCAGAGATGTGCACAGCAAATCCTGGCCAAAAAGACATGGAGGATGTGCATGCTGCGGCCAACCAAGATGGGGATGGACAACGGGCTCGGGCAGCACAGGAGGCATCAGAGAGGCAATTTTTGCCTTTTCAATTGAATTTGCAAATGTCGTGGGACTGGCCAGGGGTTAGACAGGCAGCAACAGGGAGTCTGCAAGGTGGGGAGACAGGTCAGCACCCATCTGCTGTGTGCTTGCCCCTGACCTTGCTGGGAGCAGGCTCCTTCCCAGATTCCAGTGAAAAAGGTCCGTTTGTCTTGGATTTTGTCAGTTTAATCCAGACCTTTCATGTTGGAGAAGATCTGCCAGCTGCTAAGGAAAAGAATAATTTATTGTCCTTATTTTAAATTTAAATGAAGAAAAAGTTTAGAAGATGGGTGTTTTAGAAATGGGGAAGGCTATGCAACGTGGCTTAAAAAATTTAAACTAGCTCATTCACATTTGCAGCCATGGCAGTCTCTTGGGTAAATACTGTATTAAGACAATTTTTTTGAAACTTTTATTATGTGGCCAATAGACCAAAACGGCTCCTTTTATCCATTAAAGATGTAATCATACACTTTTTCTTTACAGTGCATGTTATTTATGCATCAGAGCAGAACAAGTCCAGGAGTGCAATTATGGATATGGGACACGTGCTGCCAATGCTTATGAAAATTTGTAGGAAAAAACCAGAAACCTGAGCCCTGGCTCACAGAATTCAGGCAGAAGACTCCTGCTGACAGCAACCCAACCACAGCCTTCTCTTAAAAAGCGGAGACATGGGCATTTTTCCTGGGATATCCCCCTCCCACGGATATCTTAGCCCAGAGGCCTCTTCCCAAGTAGCTGCCCATTTCTTTACATCATTAAAAATTTGCGGGTTTACTTCAAATCTTTGCTGAATATTGCTGGTTCTGACCACTCCCTCTCTCTCCTACGTCTCCATCTCTTCCCACCCTGGCCAGGAGGTTTTGCAGAAGGACATGCGTGACGACGCTCCCCACGTCTGACCCTGCTGACCGCTGTCTGGAGGGGCAGGATCTGGCCCCACCATTTGCCGCTCACTAAATTTCTCTCCACTTCCCTTTTTTTTAAAAAAAAATACAGTTCTGGAACAACACACCAGGCTGCCACCTCCCCATAGCCCCTGCCCATGGCTCTCGATGTCCTGAGGAGAGGGTGCCCGGAGAGGGCGAGCGGTGGAAAAGCCATTTGCACTCTCCAAATGTAAAATGTCTGGGGTGAAGATGAAGGCGAGCAGCTCGTGTGCAGCCCCAGAGCTTCTTCCGTGGGCCTTTGGGTGACAACGGGCTTTGCTCAACCTGGGGGAAGGGTTAGTCCTGCTTTGTGCACCCGAAGTAGCTAATACCCACCCCCCCAAAAAAAGACCCAAGGAAAGAGGAAACCCAGGAGCAGGATTCAGAGATGCTCCCCTGCAGCAAGCTGCCTAACTAGGCAAGTAAATGATGAATGAAATTGTGATGATAGCAAAGTGAAGTGAGAGAGAAGGTAATAAATGCAACGCTCCCCCTGCAAAAGCAAACAACCTCTTCTCCCACAGCACATCGGTCCTGTGGGACACAACCCCTGCCGCAGGCTCACCGGGGCTGCACTCGCGCCTCTCCCCTCCACGACGCGTTCAGCATCCCCGCGGAGCCCAACAAGGCACATGCGTAATTAAATAACCACCCTGCAATCGTGATCAGCTCCGTCACCAGGAGGGGCGGCTCCAAGAGCCAGGTCAGATCCTGTCTCCATCCCGGGCGTTCAGCACAACGGGCTCGCCGCAAGGTGCTGCGAAAGGCTCAGGATGTGTTTGCAGCCTCCGCTGAAAAGATGTTTTGCATCTCAGAGGAAACAGGAGTGAAATGTGATGTAGTCATAGCTAAAGTAATTAAGTGCATCTTACTTAGCAGATTCCCAAAGGCTGTGCTAACTCAAAGACAGTTTCTTTTTTTCCACAATATTTCAATTTTTTTAATGAATATGCATATCAGGCCTATAAACGCTCCAGCTAATCCTAAGAAGGAGAGAAAAATAGGCTGACGAACGGCACGTGCTCTGCACTCCTTGTTTCTGGGGAGAGGGGTAATCCAACGCAAGTGACAAAACGCCGCAAGGCAGAGCCCGGCTGGGGACCTGGGCGCTCTGCAAGCAAAGATAATGTTTTGAAACATGTCAAAGGGAGCTTCAAGTTAACTGCCCCCCCCCCAAATTCATAAGTAAAAGGCAGCTCTTTCCAGCAATAAGGGTTACGGCACTAGCCAGCAGACCTGGGGCTCTGGTCCCAGGCTCGGGCAGGGGTGCTTGCTGGTGTTAAATGTCCTCTCCTGCAAAATCCTAATTCCCAACTGAAGCCTTGAGGCAGGTCCCAGCCCTGTAACCGCCTTCTGCCTTCGCTTTGCATGGGATTTTTTTCTCCTCCTCCTCCCGCTTTCTTGGTCTTGGCCACATCTTGAAGATACCATCATGTGTTGGTGGCAGAAGTACAAATTCAGAAGTTCTGTGTTATTCCCCCACGGCGCGTTTTGCCCTTGCTGCACGCGCGGCTGGGCTGTGTTCCCAGGTGGGATCTGTGCCGAAGCGCTCGCAGATGTTGCCCAGCAGGAGAGGAAGAAATTTGACTGTAGCTTGCCATACGGTGTTGGCTGACCCTTG